ACATCCCAAAAATATATAAAGGATACATGCATTTCAAAATGTATCTGGTAATCAATAAGATACCTTGAAAAGCGTGGAGTTGTCTATGGCAAAAAATCCATATGCTGTAAATTGCACCTCCTGTTTAATGCTTTTGGTAAGGAATTTATCGATCTGGAAGAGAAACCCTTAGCGAATTATTTAAATTTTTTAAGTTTCCCAATAACATACGATATTCTGATATTCCTTTGACTTGGCGTATACCCTCGCCAGAATTTGTGATGTGGCGTTGGCCTTGAAATAGAAACACTTATGATTATTAAGATCTTATCTGCGATATAGTTGCTAACCTCCGTGGTGGTCAGGCCACAGCTACGGGACAGCAATGCCAGGAGGGAAACGTGGAGACATAACCAGGCGAAGCACCACTGCAAAATGTTGGGCGACACCATGCCCTTGCCGGTAATTTGGACAAAGAGGTTGTAGCAGTTGGTGGTGACCGTGTAGAAGGAATAGCCCAGAAATGAGACCAGAATCAGGTTGCAGCAATCGTTAATGCCCTTGTAGATGCGCAGCAGCTTGTTGTGCATGCGGTAAATGAAAAGTGAGTCTTCAGGGAAATGTTCCATTAGAGCGGGATTGATATTGGGATGGACATCACCACGCTGCCGCCTCGCTCGTGCTCCACCTCCTTTGCGCTTCTGCTGCTGCCCATAGGTGTATCCATTCAGCAGCTGGTTGATGAAATGAAACCGGATGTACACAATCCTGAGTAAAGCCGATGCGAATACTATATAGGTGGCGGTCAGACCGTTCTGGATGCCATAGAAGGCCAACAGTATGTAGGAGGTGGGAGTGATCTCGCCTTGCACGGCATATATCTTGAGCACGATAATATAAGTCTGGCAAGCGGCGATTCCTACCAAAAATTTCACCGAGAACCCGAAATTCTGGTTCAAATTGGCACCAAACTGCCGACGCACTTCCTCGTCCAGTTGAAGGATTTCATTCATTATCCGTAGCATGCTTGTGGTATTTCGGGCACAAACAAAAACAGTAAGGGTATAGGTCAGGATGCAGAGCAGCAGCTCGATCCACTGGTTCACATTGTCCGTTTCCCGGTAGGAGAAAAATAGTTGCGCCGATATCGGTGTAAATAAGCTGTAGACATTGAAAATGGTAAGGGCGTGGACCACGCCCCTTACGAAGAAGGAGTAAAACTCGTTGGTTTTGGTCGGAGGACCCACCTCATAGTCGGAGACCTGTTCGTATATGGGCATCAAGCCACTGGCCTTGAGCACGGATAAAATGGTGCGAATGTCCTCGAAAACGGGATGATCATGGTTCCTCGATGGCATAGGTGGTGCATCTCTACTGAAGGCATCCCTGTGCAAGCTGGGTGTACGGTACGGCGAGATTCTTCGCGGATACGGATGTGATCGCGTTTTCTGCGTAGGCATTTCAATTACCCAAGTGTTCGGGGACATGGCCAACTTAGCACTGACAGGTCCAAAGGATTGGACTAACTGGATTGACCAGTGTTCATATAAGTGGGTTCCGAGCTATCTGATTGTGTCCTGGGGCCACTTGGGGTCATGGGCCAGACTTTGCCATTAGAGTAATTGCTTGGCATTGTGGATTATTGAATAATGCCAACGGAGGGGAACGGCTGATTCAATTTTTTCATGGATGACTTCTGATTAATTTATAGCAAGAATTATTACTTACTTAAATCTTTTCATTTTCTTAACATTTTAAAAAGAATATTGTCATGAGAATGGCTTTAATGTTTTAATTAAGCTCCGCTGCCCTCTTCTATTTAAACCCTTATTTTTATTGCCTAATAGTTTTATTTCCCATAATCCAGATTCTAGGCAATGTCTGCTTAATTTCTATTCAATTTCGTTACGACGATATTTGGTTTTCCTTATACGGATTCCCTTAAATCCTGCCTAATCCCCGCAAAACAAATCCCATAAATATAAAATCGAATGGCGAACCAATTGGTGGACCAGTTCACCCTCATATAACATATGTAACATGAGCGTGTTATGGGTGTATTATCACTGGGATGCGTGAAATGTTATCTTTGTCACACCTTTTCCGCTTTTCCGCCCCTCAAAGCACCCACACAAGGACAAACTCCACTTCGCACACACACAGCCACGTATTTTTCCACCCCCAATGAGGGATTGCAATTCAATGCGGCTCGGGCTGTTGCTTTTCTTTTTTGTGTCATTCCCAGCTTTACTTTACTTTACCTTTTGGGGAGAGAGACTCGTGACGAGAGAGTGCTAAACGGGCACGCTGTTGCTTTCGGCACACGCCTCACTGTGGGTCGAGTTAGAAAATCGCTCGCCGGAAACGTAAGAAACAGACTTGCCGCGAATTCTTCAGTCGAAGAACGTAGTTTTGTACGGCTAAGGCTACACGAAAAACTATACCGAACTGGGATGTGTAATACAATTTAGTGCCTAATGATACAAAGTCATTTCCAGCCTAAATTTGAGTATTATAAGTATATTTTTTAAATGTTTAATATGTCAACCTTTATATTACCTTTCATTTTAATTTGAGAAAAAAGTGTACATGGAAAATGCTGGAGAACGATGTTTAACAAAATCATTTCATTCGACGGCGTTCCTGAGTTAAGCATGACTTTGTGCTTCAACTAAACCCACTGTGACGCACTGCCCGTGACGTCACGGCACGGCTTTAGCTTTTGGTTTAGCTCACTCCGACAGATACAGACACACCGAGAGATAGGAGGGAAGGTGAGAGAGCCACTCTTATCAGCAGCGGCATCGACAAATCGAAGACAAAACAAAACCCGTCATTAATCCCGTAGAGAAAGTCGAACGCATCGCTCATCGCACGGAATGCTGTCGCTACTCCTGGTTTTGACGACGTTCGCCAGGATCCACGCCCACTACACCAGCGGGGATGTGGTCTATCACACAATGCCGCACTTCTGGACGGGCGTGGGCTTCTGTCCTGCCGGACGGATCGATCACGAGGGGATTAGCTCCGCCCTGAGCGATCCAGCCCTTCGACTCAATCTCCGCCAGATTGCAGCATTGCCCGTGGGCGCTGTGACCCACATTCGCATCCACTGGCTGCTGGAGCTTATTCAATTCTGGCAGTACGACCCCAGCGGAATTCCGATTTATGATTTCTCCAAATTCGATGACTTCATTGATTTCCTGCACGAGGAACTGCGCTTGTCCCCTGTTCTGGAGTGGATGGGTAATCTGGGTGGGGTTTTTTCGGAAAACCCCATGCAGCAATCCTTCTACTGGGAGCACTTGGTTAAGACCACGATTAACCACCAGATTGGTAAGCAATGCTTACTCACTTATTTCAAATGCGTACCTACAGTTTCCTCTGTATTCATCAGCACGACACGGTTCCTCCAGATTGGCCAACTGGCGCTACGAGACATGGAATGAACCAGACCTTCACGGGTATAACAAGCAAAATTTTACTGCACACACCTATTTGGATTATGTTCAAGCTGTGCGTCGGGGTTTGAGTAAAGCTGGAAACCTGGACAACCAAGATGGAAAGGTCCCGCTGCCCATGTATCGCTCCTTGCGCGGACCTGCGGGACTCTTTAAGGACTCGAATCATCCGCTCTGCTGGAATCTATTGGAGCTGTGTAGCCAAAGAGTGGTTTACTGTCCCATTGATATACTGACTTTCCATCGGAAAGGAATCGATGGCACTGCCACGGAAATCGTAAATGGCTCGCTTTCCTTGATGGCTAAAATCTATGAAGAGTATCCCAATCTCAAACAACTACCAGTGGCCAACGAGTAAGAAATAAAGTATAGCTAACTAAATTATATAGCTTTCAATATAATTGATTACATTTTAATATAAATGCTAGAAAAGCATGGTAAAGCTTATTGATATCTTATCTTTCCATCTCTTAGTGAAGCCGATCCTGTTGCCCGCTGGAGTACCTCCCGCGAATTCCAAGCGGATGTGCGGTATGGAATCACGCTGATATCTACGGTAATGCAGTTCTGGCATGCCAAGCTAGCCGAGGGTGCACTAAGCCGCTTGGAGTCCATTAGCCATGACAACGCCTTCCTGAGCTACCATCCCTACGAGTTCACACAGCGCACTCTTCTTGCACACTTCCGGATGAACGAAACCAAGCCGCCGCACTCGCAGCTTGTTCAGAAACCCGTATACGCTGCTCTGGGAATGCTGGCGAAGCTGGGTAGCCGGGCTGCGGACGTTGAACTGGTCAATATGGATACTAAACATAGCGTCCAGGTCTTGCGTACTGTGTCTGGTGGATTGGGCGGTCCTGGCCAGTACATGGCCACAATATTTCTGAGTCCCGAGGAGGCGGGACCAAAGATGACAGCCTTCCATCACAAGTACACGCTAAACATGTCGATAGCGAATGAGTCGGCCTTCATCACCGAGCTCCTGGTGCCGCAGGAAACGGATCCGTACTACATATGGCGGCAGGCGGGAAGTCCGGCCTATCCCAACGCCACTCTAAGGGAAGCGATGAGAAGGGCGCAAACACCTAGGCTCTACAAGACGGGACCCATCTGGCAATACAACAGCGAGCTGGTCATAAACTCCGCCAGTATCCCACTGCCCTGGGCGATGCTGCTCCGGGTGTGCTCCGCATCTTGGCCCAAGCTGCGTCGACCGCAGCAACTTTCCATCGCGGAGGTAACTCATCGTGAGGTTTTTATTAGCTGGATGGAGCACCCCAAGTCCACGCAGTGCCTTCTCAGCTACGAGGTGTGGTTCAAGGAACGCGACAACCTGGGTCGCTCCGCCGACTGGATGCTCATCTCACACGGCTGGCACCTGCCATATCCGTCTTTTCAGTATGCGCCCGGCGACGAGGGGTCCGTCAATGGTGAGCGGAATCTACAATTCAATTCCCATCTTCCATATGTGTAATGCTTTTTCGTCGACAGGTTTCTATAAAGTTCGCGGTGTGGACGTGTTTAATGAAACCAGCCCCTACTCACAAATAGTCGAATATCTGGAGTTGTAGTTCAACAAACAGTTTATAAATCAAAAGAACATATTTATGCAAAGTGAAAGCTAACATAATCAGGTTTCGGCTAGGCGCTAGTGGACCGCTCCTACTCTCAATCTGTCTCTCTTGGAATGGACTGACTTCACCGGCACAATCTTCTGGACTTGCGCCTTCGCCTTAACGCCGGCAATATCATATATACATACATATATTATTTATATATAAAGATATTTATAGTACATTATATGTGTTGTGTTCGTAATATATAAATGCCTTCATCCTGCCAAGGAATCGGCAAAAGCGTACATGGATACATTAATTTTCTGTGACGGATATTTACAATAAGAATAAGTTAGTGACGTAATCGGAACAATCGCAAGGGGACGCGATCTTATTTTCTATTCTGGTTCTTGTTTAGCCCTAGGCATCCAAGACCAACCACTTTTCGTTTATGTGCTCCATTTGCTTGGTGAGAATAGGATTTCGAACACGTATCTTGACTTCCAACTTTCCTCCCACTTGCTTGCGACCATCCATTAGCTATTTTGAAGAAGAGAAACATTAAATTGAAGTTCTTAGTGATCTGTTATTAGTTGCCACTTACATCGTATGTGTCGTGTATATCACACTTGGTCTCCAACGGCTGAAGCTTGACATTTACGGTTCCAATCAACGTATCCGATCGCAGAAACCCTCTGAAACAACACAGGGGCAATTTACGACTTAGTCCACAACAATCTATACTGCAGCTATTTATATTAGATGCGTAGCATTGGATGAAATTTCGTTTTGAATTGTTGGGAATTGAGGCGTAAAGATTTTTAAAAATATTTCATTAAAATGTTCCTTATGAGAATCAATGAAGTTCAATGGGTATACATATACGGTGAAATATATGTGTGCTTGAAGCCGTGACTGGTACAATACTGTTTACAGGACCAAAGGAACATGCTTACTACGAGAAAAAATTAAATTAATTAAAAAAAGATCTGAAACTTAATATTAAGAGAAATATAATAACCTAGCGAAACCTACAGATTGGATACAAAATATTTAATAGGTATTTATCTGATCAACAGTTTTATAAATTGTTTCTAAAATTATCTATGCAAAAACTTTTTTTATATTATTATTTCAAAAATATTAAAGATAGTTACATAAGAATAACCTAATTTACTACTCATAAGACAACAATACTTAGTAGTCCTTGGGAAATTAATGCGCGTAAATAAAATTATATACCGCCTCCGTTAGTTGAGATTAATATGCATGGAAAGCTTCTTAGTACGGATTATATAACGGTGCTAAGTTAGTTATTTCATTTACGAACAACTTACCCTCTAGAGTATATTTCAAACTTGACGCCATGTCGCTTAAAGATTCTCTGGAACTGACGATTGGCCCGCTGGATGTCAACCTTGAAGCGTTCATCGTAGTCAGGACTGCTAGTGTCTCTGATAACATTGGTTTTAGTCTTGAAAGATTCATCCTAAAAGTTCACATATTAATATTTGGCAAAATTAGAAATGCAGGTCATTAACTTACATTAAGCAGGGGAAACTCTACGCGCACATAAGTATCGACGTCTTTGGGATTGGCCACGTTGTAGTTGATTCCCCGGACCACAACAATTTCGAGCTCGCTATCTGTAAGTTCTGTGTTGCAATGCACAATGTTGAAGCTACGCTTTTCATAGTGAAACTTTGGCAGTGGTTCATTCTTTCGTTTCGAGTATCGTACCAAATCCAAATCCTTTTGCACTGTTAAAGCTAAATTTTCAAACCGATTCATGCCCGCTACATCGCCCATAGCCTTGTGATGATCTCGGGTATTTTTACACATCATCAGCTGCTTTGCCAGCTGCTCCTCCATGCGAACACCAATTTCACAGATGTCATCAGTTGGATCGCATTCCTCAACGGATACAATGGCAAATGAGGCTTCTAGACTATCCCTTTGGGATGGCGGGACGGGAAGCTGGAGAAAAATGAAAGACTTAGTCATACAAAAAGAAGATGCAATGAAAACTTACAGTGCTGAGATCCACTGGCAATCCACTACTGGCTGCATTAAGAAGGGAATCAAATCCTTTGAAGATCTTTAAGTACTCTTTGGCCTGATCTATCTCTCCCGCTTTCTTGGCCTCTATAGCTGCTAGCTTAAACTCCTTTTGGCGCTCGAGGAGCAGTTTCATTTGCTGTTCGGCAATATTGTTCTTCTGCTGATTGCCAGACGTGCGTGTGGTTAGCTCCTTGGGCTTAGGAGGTGACGGTGCTTTTCGAGGAGCTGTAGGTGTCGTCACATTGGAACTGGTGGGTGTTCCTCCTGCGGAAGTACTTGCCGTTGCCGGTGGAGATGTAGGGGAAGTAGGCAGTGATGGAGTCGGCGCAATAGGAGCAGCATCCACCGTGGGCAGAGGTCCAAAACCGGGTGGCACTGGCAGTTCATCGTAAGGCACTGGTTTGCCTGCCTTGTACAACTTTATGGCATCTTCGTATTGCTTCACAATCCTCCCAAAGCGTCTGGCTTTTCCGCTATTGTTCTCTGCCTTGGCTGCCGCTTCCACAGACTGATATTTCTCTAAGCGTTGCTGCAGAGCCTCCAACATATTTGTTGGAGCTGTTGGGACCGGAGTAGGCACAACAGGTGTGGGATCTGGAATAGGAGCAGGTTCTGCGACATCTTCTGCCGTTGCTCCTTCTTGCATTTTTTTAAGGAATTCAAGGAACTCAGCTGGTGGAGGGGGCATATCACTCAAATCAACTTCCTGTCCGTCCTCACACATTTTTATGACTACGTCAAATTGCTTGACCACTTTGAGGAACTGAAGGGCAGTAGCTGTATCACCGCTGCGTTTAGATTGCAGTGCAGCAGATTTGTAGTCATTCTGGCGGCTGCGCATTTGCGTGACGAGAGGATTAGGAGGAGTGGTGGGTGACACTGATGTAGTGGGCTCCACCGGGGTGGTGGGAGTTGGTGGAGCGGGAGCTGCACGACTTGGCACAGGCGGAGGGGAAGCAGGAGTGGAGGGAGCTGGTGATTCCTCAGCAGGCCCTGGAGGAGTCTGCCCACCCATTGGCTTTACGCTGACTTCAGGTGGAATGTCATCCACGTTGATGGACTTGCCAGCCGCTGCCTGTTTGTGGAGATCCTGTAGAGTCTTGAGTCCTCTTCCAAAACGCCTTGCTTTGCTTGCATCGCCGGCAGTCTTGGCATTGGCCTCGGCCAGCTTGTACATTTCTAGACGCTGTTTTATAATGCTTAATGTGTCCACAGTTGTAGTAGGCAGAAAGGTTTGTATGGGTTCTTCAGTGGCAGCTGACGGTTGGGCGGCAGACTCCTCTTCATCCGCTTGCTCTAGGCCACCAATTCCGCTCAGCTCGCCAAGGAGATCTGGATCGCTTTCCAAATTGTCATCATCTTCATCGTCGCTGACATCACGCAAGCTGTCGGCTATCATTTTGTCTAAGTCACTGGCGGGTAACAGCTTTGCTTTGGGCTTCGGCTTTGGCTTGGCTCCTCCTCCGCCGGCTATGGCCGCAAGCTCTGCCTCCAAATCGCTGTCACCCCCATCGTCGTCTCCATAACCAGCGCTGGGATCGAAGTCATCTGGGATTTCCGTAAGACCGAACTAAATGCAAGAAACAAGAGTGACAGTCCATACGATGAGTCATAATTAATAAATAGACTGTCTAGACTGTTTGTTTTTCCTCTTACCTGCGATAAATCGTGCTGCCTTCTTTTTGCTGGTTCTGGCTTCTTTCTGGAGAACATCCTTGGTTATTCAGGGACTGTTCAGGGACTAAAATAAGGCTACAAAAACTTTCAAATCCTTGAATTATTTGCGTCGCAAGCGTTCAGATGCAGACAACAATAACAGAGTGGGGATCACAGTGTCGGAACTAAAGGTGACACAGGAAAGTCTTTGCGAACTGATGACGTCAGTGGCACAGAGTTACTTGAAATTTGTTGATGGTCTTAATATAAAAATGAGATAATTTTAAATGAAAGTGTTTTTTTTTCAAATAATAGCAACAATTGAAATACATTTAATATATATATATATATCAACACGAAAAGCCACCTCACAAAACAATTCTGCGGAACTGAACTTTTACCGGGAACCAGGGCTACGACACGTTAACAGGTACAGGGCTGCCGCGCCAGCTGACTAATCGATATCGTCACCTATCGATATCGAGAGCCAGCGCACACACAGTGCAAAAGAGTTTGCGAAAAAAACCTGGACAAAAACTCAAATTGATTGTGAGCCGAGCAGCTTGAGGCAGTAGGAGTACCCCGTCGACCAGTGCCGTGGAGCCTCTAACCCCCGTGGTTGTGGCGGCACCAACAAGCAAACGAAACCATCGCCACTGCAGTTCTCCCAGCTTCCACCTCCTCCAACTCCGTCTTGGGGGCCAAAGGCAGAAAATCATCAGACTTCTGGTTGAGAGCAGCGCGAGACAGCGGGGACGGCACTGGCCTGCTGGGTTTAGCGTGGAAGTAAACAAACGAATTGGATTCCGGGTGTAGGACGGACGAACGGGGCGTGGCTCGTTAACCAGCGGCTTGGTAAACAAAACCGGAGGCGGCAACAAGTAGGCGACAGGCATGGACGTGTCCCTCACTGAGCCGGAGACGCGCTTCTACAGTGAGTTGTTCCAATGCTGCGACGTGGAGAACACGGGCAAGGTGCCCATGCTTAAGGCCACCGAGCTCTTTCGCTCCGCGGACATCGCCAACGAGACCGTGATTGAGGTAGGTCCAATTTGTGTGATCGTGAGTGATTAATTATCTGGATCTGGGCTTACAGATCACCGGTCTGGCGGGGATTCCCTCCACGGCTCTACACATCTCGCGGACACAGTTCTACTCATGCCTGAAGCTAATCGCTGCTCATCAGGCGGCCATGCCCCTGCGCCAAGAGCTGATTTTGGCCACGTTTCCGCTTCCACTACCGCACTTTAGCTGGAAGGAGACGGTTACAGCTCCGGTGGCTGTCGAAAATGGATTGACTGCTTTGCCGCCGCCGCCACCCACAGATCGCAGAAATTCACTGCGTCGCAACTCGCAGCAAGAGCAGCTGCAAGACACCTCTGATGTGCCCAGCACCGACTCCGAGGTGGAGCAGAACGAATCAGTGGACGATGCGACAGGCCACGGACGAGGCACGGATGGCAGTGGGGTCGTCAGCAGCAGCAGCCGCGAAAATGTCGGGGTTTGTACTTCTATCTTATCTTGTGACATTTGTAAATAAGCTAACCATTGACCGATCCCCGTCCATTCCTTATCTCTCTTAGCGTCGAAGAGGAGGCGGTACTGGAGGTGGATCGCCAGAAGCCTGGAGCACTAACAGTGACAGCCCCACGCCCACCAACAGCGTGGCTGAGCGACCTTGGGCGCAGGACACCCTCTGGCAGGGTTTGCTGGGCGATGAGCATCGCCAGCTGTTGGGCACGGAAGAAGAGTCTTCCGATCGCCACAGCAGCGACGACGAAGACAACGAGAGTGAATTGGTGACCATTTACCAGATAACTCCGGAACAGCGTGAGTACTATAACAAACAGTTCAGGACGGTGCAAAGGGATCCGCATGGTCTGCTTTCTGGCCAAGCAGCAAGGTTAGTTTGCTTCGAAAACATTTATAACTCTTTTTAAGCTGAAAGTGAAATGCTATGCTATCTATCTCGCATGCAATTTTAAAAGTATATATTTTTTTGTAGAAACTTCTTCGAAAAAAGCCGCATTCCTGTGGAGGAACTGCGTCACATATGGCAGTTGTGCGACGTTACTCGCGATGGAGCGCTAAGTCTGTCTGAGTTTACGGCCGCCATGCATTTGGTGGTCCTCAGGCGCAACAACATTCCCTTGCCCACAAGTCTGCCCCATTGCTTGCATCCCAACGTGTTGCAAGCGGCTGCGTCCGGCAGTGGACAGGGGGTGACATCCTCTTCGTCGGCTGCGCTGCCTCAGGAGCCACCTGAGGCTGATCTCCTGCACCTAAATGATGACGATGAGGACGACCACACGGATAATACAATCATAGCCGGCAATCTCAGCGGCGGTAGTGCAACCAGCAAACCGCGTCCCAATGTGCCCAGCGACAAAAACATCATGAATCTGAGCAGCATCTCCACGTCCTCCCAGGCTAGCAACAGTTCCAGGCTTGAGGCAACACCGCAAAATTCTTTGGGAAAGAACCGCAGCATCTCAAACTCGCCGAATGCGGAAAAACCTGTGGCGGGAACTGTTTCTTCTACGTCCAACGCTGTAGACTCGACCAACGTCTCCAGTCAGTGGACAAAGTTTAGCGAATCTCCAACAACAAGTGCTGTTTCAGTACAGTCAACCACTGGGGCAGCACCTGTTGTAGCCGCCGGAGCAGCGGCTCCTGGCGCCTCTAGTCCCGGGCTCAAGCCAGTCCTGTTTGACATGAAACGCTCGGCCCAAGACGTGGTATCCAATCCGCAGATCCTGCACCCAGTGCCGCTAAGAGTGACGCCAATAGGTGAGTAGAAAAACTAAAGGCGATTATATGCCTTAAATAATATTGTTAACAAAGTGTTGTTCTAACATACATAAGATTTTAGGATTCGAATGTTGTGAACATAATTCTAATTATTTCTTATCCCATTTCTAGGCACCGCCATCGCTTCCTCGGCTGAGTCATCTAACGATAACGAGAGCGCTGTGGCTCAGCGCGAGGATAGTCCCAAGGCCATCTCTTCGACTACTGTCAATAATCAGTCATCTGCTGTTCTACCCGGAGTTGCTGGCTCACACCGCGATAGCAGCGATCTGCGTGCCATCCAACGGCCTCAAGCTAAAAAGTTGCCGGCCAAGAACAGTGCATTGCCACCGCCACCGCAACGTGAGCCCAGTATCGGATCCACTGGGCCAAGTGAGCTGCCTGAACCGCAGGCTGCCTACGTGGCATCATCTTTGGCGTCGAAGAAGGAGCCACCACCCCTGCCACCGCCTAGGCCACATCGACATGCGCGAAGCAGCAGTCTGGACTTAAACAAGTTTAAAATAGGCGCGACGGGCGGTGCCCAGCAGGCGGAGGTATGTTATGTCCTGTGGACCAACAATTAACAATTTAACTTGCGTATTTCAGTCTGTGTCGTTTAATTTGTCTTGGTCATTAAAGCCTTGTAGGGGATAATATTTCGTAGACCTACACCTACCCCCTGCATTGCTGTATTAGACTAAGGAATTTCGAAAAATTTCGCTGTGTCCCGTCCTTTTCTCTATTTTCAATATATGTAGGGTACTTTGCAAATGAAGGAGAATACAATTTTTGCTAAATTGTATAACGACAGCAACTTTCTCTAAAATTTCTGAGTTTCCCACAAGAAAAAATACAAGTTTCGTTAAATAAATGTGGGAAATATTGTAACATTTGCAAGGAAGCCAGAAAATTTCGGTCACCCGAAGTTGCTATTTTGTTTTGTTTCCTTTTGCTTGCTGAATTTTTGTAACTACCTGTAACCTGTGAAATGTATATAAACATGCAACCCCTTTTGTTAAGATCACCGCGCAGGCCAGCTTCGATATGCAAACCTCAACGGGGTTTGCCGATTTCACGCACTTTGCCGACGAAGGTGCCGCGAACGTCGTAAGTCCAACCCTAAATGTATGCAACTCGTAAAGCATTCCACTACAATTGGCCGTAGTTCCACTAGTGTCATGTGTCCAAATTCAGTAGCTTTTATAAACAACGCACTCATTTTTATAACAGTCTTACTAATATGTAATCTAACATTATAGGTGGACGAGCAGCAGCTTCACTCCTTGCCGCCGACCGCACCGCCGCCACAGGCAGCAGTGGTGCCGCCCACAAGAATCACTCTTCAGCAGGCTCAGCAGCGTATTTCTGCCTTCGAGGTTTACCGAAAGCCGCAGACGCCACGTGGATCGCAATCGCCACCCCAGCAGCCGCCACCGCCGGCTCCAGCTGTGGGATTGACTACCCAAACTGGTCAACTGCCCAGTGCTGAGAGCTTTGAGAAGCGGGTAACCGCCATAAGTGACTCGCTGCGCCACGTGTCCTTCAAGCAGGGCCAGGCAAATACCACAGAAGTGCTGCAACGGCTGCGAGAGCAGAACAACTCTCTGCTCCACCTCTGCAACGATTTAAGCGACGAACTCTTGAGCGTCCAGACGCGCAAGGAGGAGATGCGTCTCAAGCTGGAGGGACTTAATGCCATTGATAGTACAGGGCGAACGAGCTCCTCGATTTGCGCACCGGTGACAGCAAACGTAACCGGTGGTTCCTCTGGTTCGGCAGGAGCTGCTTACACCAACGTTTAAGCAGCGAAAATTATCATGTTTACTAGGGTGAATCGATTTTTTTTTTTTTTTTTTTTTTTTTTGGCGATTTGTGACTTTTGTCTGCCTGTATTCTTGCAACCATTTTAAATGCGTCGAACCAAAATTAAACATTCCTTATAATGTGTTATATTTTCTCTAAATTCAATTTAAATTTTAATTGCCTTTTCTGCAAATTAGATTGCATGGAACTCACATTGGTCGTAAGATTTGTGACTTTTGTCTGCCTGTATTCTTGCAACCATTTTAATTGCCTCGATCCAAAATTTAACATTCCCTATAATGTGTTATATTTTCTTTAAATTATTATATTATTTCCCTTTTCTGCAAATTAGATTGCATGGAACTCATATTGGTCGTAAGATTTTAGAAAACTACGTATTCGGTTCTACCAAATTGAATACTAATTGAAATTACCAAAAAAGTTTAAAATGAAATCCTCGGATTAAGGCAAAAAGCTAAAATGAATTCATGCTAGTATTTTTTTTTATCTGTTCGTGCACTCAAAGAAATCGATTCACCTTTTTGTTAAACACTTATTTTGTTGTTTCTGTATGTTGCCAGCACAATTTACGATTCGGGGTGCTTACACAGCGATAAGACTGGGCAAATCTATGAGTAAGTTCGCAAAATTTTGTTGTGAAAATATTTACACAGTCTGCAGATAATATTCGCCAGATCTGCAAACTCCAACAGCTTCTATGTACTACCATTCGATTACTCAAGAGCTTGTTCAGTCTTAAACTGGTAGAAACACCTGCGATGGATCTGATACCGCGTCCGTTTATGCATTGAAGTTGCTAATTTAATTTGTAGGCTAGTTAAATCTCAAGAACACAAAACAAATCATGCGAGAACCACAACAATAATGCCGCCTCTATAGATATTTATGCAGATCGATTTATATATGTATGTATATTTAGAGATATATGTATGTATATGCGCTTCTCCTAATTGTTACGAGTAAATGACACACAATTCTTTCGCTTGACAGCCACCCGTATCTCACCCTCACCCTAGTGATTAATGAAACTGCCACAAAGTGGTCCAATCCCAGCTGTAATATTTCCTGCTGCGAAGGCATTTTACTTTTCCATATGCTATTTATTAATGTTTTGTGTATGACTCGAAAATGTCCCCTTCTATTCATTCCGGCAATGAAAATTAAAAAAAAAAAAAATTACAAAAACGAACCTAAAAAAAAAGCCAGGCTTAATGTTTAAGTATTAGAAAAGTCAAAAGTAAAAAATCGATAAAGAAATTCATTTCCTTGAAAGCTTAGCTTAGGCTTTTCAAAAAGTATATACATATTAATATATTTTCTATCTGTATAGTGTACACGAGAACACGATAACACTTGATATTATCTACAATTACCAAAATTTTTTCTACCGAAACAGGATACAAATTTGATTTACTCGGACCACTGAATGTGTACGTATATGCTAACTTCGAATTTATCAAACATACCGGGATATATCACTTCTTTTGCATACTTAAACCACTAGATATATGAGTTTTTCTTCAACTTGTTAATCATTTTCAAAGACCTACCAACACACAATCACACGAGAAACGAAACAAAATGTAATATGAAAAGAAAAAGTGATATTGAAACACTATGTAAGCATATTATTACGTCGCTGCGTAATCAATGTGTATTGTTTTGATGGATATACATCTCTATAAATGATAATGATAAAGATAAATGTATTAAGTTGATGTTAAAATGCAATAAAACGAAAATGCAACCGAAACTTGTTTTATTGTTTTCAAATAAACGTTTCGCTAAGCGTCCATCCCTGGTACTCGTCGCCGATAACAGACGCGGACCATTATCGATTGCTCTTGCACACGCCGCTACACATCTCTAAGGTTTTGCGGCAAAAAAGTTTTTCGCGAAAATTTGTGAGTTTACGAGAAGCAGCCAACTAAATGGTTTAGTTTCGCCAGGTAGACGAACAATTGCTGGAGGCCAGAGTTACCAAGTACCGGCTGGGTGCATTTAGCAGGAGTAAACGAGACCATTTGACTGCTGCATATTGATAGGGCAGGTTGGTGTGCGAGTCGTTTCTGTTCATCAACTGGCGAAATTAATAATGTGTACCCCCATGCCGTATCATCCTCCCACCTGCAGTCAGCCGATGTGTCAATGTTAATCGCGCTCTTCGCGCTTGCACACTTGCCAATCTTTCGTAAGACGCCTTCGTCTGCCTTCTCCTCCCCGCCGCCGTCTGTCCACCGGTCGCCAAGGTGTGGCAAAGCGAGTTCCGCGTACCATCCACCGCTAGCAGACGCCCGCATCCGCATTAGTGCTCCGGCCATCGACGCAGCATCCGGGATGAGCAACAGCGCCGACCAGGACAAGCCGATTGCCGCTAACGGCAGTGCGGCGGAGCCCCAGGAGATGGAAGTCATGTGTGTACCACCGGTTAACCAATAGATGGCCCTTGCCTAATTGATCTTTTTTTGTGCCTCACAGCCACTTCCAAGCGCAAGAGAAGCAGTGCTGCCGCGTCATTAGATCCAATAAGACCAAGGTCCTTACGTCCGGCGGTGTTCACACACGCGGTTCCTCCAAGGTCAAGCTAAAGAACATCGTCGACTACAAGTGGGAGCGCAAGTACTACTATCCGGGTCACCTGGTGGCAGTCCACCGCGATGGCAAACACCTGGCGTACGCTATCAATGGTAAGAAATGTATATCCCATGGGAGTTTCATTACCAATTATATTTCGTGCATGTATGCAAACCTTCTCTCACAATTCTTGACTGTTATAAAAAAGGCAAAAGAAATTCAATCAAAAATTGTAGTATCTCACGGGGAATAATATGATATTTTGTATATTATTATTATGAGTATCAGTGTATGTGCATCTGTATTTAAAAATTAATTTAGAAATTAATTTATTGTATTCCCAGTCAACAACAAAGCCACCGGCATGGAGGGCATGGTGCGCGTCTGTAACATAGCCACCAGTGTGCGAGCTTTGATCAAGGGAATGAGCGGCGAGGTCTTAGATCTGCAGTTTGCCCATACGGACCGTGAGCGTATATTAGCAGTGATCGATGTCAGCTCGCTGTTTGTCTACAAAGTCGATCAAATCGAAGGCAACCTGCTGTGCAATCTAGTGCTAAAGGTGGAGGACCCTATCGCTAACTATGTACCGGAATACGATATGGTCTCCTGGTGTCCCTATGTCTGCAGCAGCAGCACCACTGTTCCAATCAACGACGATGACGATGAGAATCAGCTCCTCATTTGGTCGCGGAGCTCTCAATTTCAATGCTTTCAAGTGAAGATGATTGTCTCTGAGCATGGGGTTTGTTTGTGTTTACGTTCTGCGTCATTCACATCATTAATGTCTTTTATCTTAACAGCGCGGCAAGATACAACCAGCAGCCCTTGAATCTGGATATCTGAAGATTGAGGAGGACTCCTTGATCACGTGCGCCGCTTTGTCCCCGGATGGCACCACTGTGGCCGCCGCCTGCGCCGATGGCTTGGTCCGCTTCTACCAAATTTATTTGTTCGATGTGCGCAACCATCGCTGCCTGCACGAGTGGAAGCCACACGATGGCAAAAAGGTCTGCTCGCTCTTTTTCCTCGACAATATCAATAAGCCTGTTGAAGAGTAAGTAACTTATATTATAATTAAATATTATAATCGATTAACTCAACTTTTCCCTATAGTTCCTACTGGCAGCACGTGATCACAACGAGCGATGCCAATACCGAAATCAAGCTATGGAACTGCTCGCTGTGGGAATGCCTCCAAACTATCAACGTGGGGGCAAGTAGTCCGTCATCTGTGCAGCCCAGAAACTTTATCGCGGGAATCGATCGCAGTGCGAACTATTTGGTGTTGTCCTGCCTGGACTCACTAGCCGTCTACGTAATGCAGATTGGCAGTCCCGGCATCGAAGAATCTGCGAATAGAGGTAGCGATAGCGAAGGAGAGGGTTGCGACTCGTCCAAACGCATTCAGAATGTTGCCGAATTCAAGCTGAGCTCGGGAATTCTCTCTTTTTCTATTGTGAACGCTAGTATGCGTCGTGTGAAGAACTCCATCGAGAGCTACTATCCTATTGAGGAGCCCGATGACTTCGATGACGATTCCAATTCCACCAGTGCCCTTGTGCTGCACATGTTTGTGGTGCAGGCAAAGAGCCTGCAGGAATGTCAAATAATCTACCAGCCATGCGTGGCTGAAAAACCAGAGCGGAGCAGCCTGAGCAGCAAGCGATCGCAGACGCCGGAAGACAATCTACTAATCAAAGAGGAGCCGGAATCCCCCAGCAGCGGAACTGTGGGTACTGTACAGCTGGATGCATTGTTTGCAAAATCCGCAAAGAGAGCTTCAACGGGCAACTCGTCTGCCATAGTGGCCGTGGCGGCAGCTGCAGCGGCTGCACCTTCAGCCATCCTGCAGGACGCCACTAAGGAGGCGGCCAAGTCAGAGTCCCCGCAACTAAGCAGCGCGTATCCGCAACAGGTTAATCTCATGACCCCAGATGCGTTCAGTGCAAGCGGAACCGCATCGGCAGCAGCTGTCTTTGTATCAACTAGTACCACGACTTCCATAGGAACTGATAGCTCTACAGCCAGCAGTGCTCAGGATAGATCCATCGATTCAGCGGTCTTGCAAACCATACGCATGCTGGCTACGGTAACGTCCAAGACTTCCGAAAACCCCAATGCGGAAGTTCTCCTCAACCTAATGAACAACACCCTCATCGAGGACCGAGAGCAACAAAAGCTCAAGGAGAAGCTGGACGCTCGCAAGAAGTTCATTGCAATTGATCGCAATCCGGAGCGCAATGTGGCTGAGAACTTGGCCAGCGGCAGTTCGAGTCCGAGTCGAGAGGTGCAGGAGATAATGGCCACACAGGATGATGCCGATGCCTACGAAGCAGAGCTAGAGAATCTGGACGACGATGATGACGATGAGGAAGAAGAGCTGGCAAATTCATCGCCGCTGCCAGAAGCAGTTGACGGAACATGGCCCATCGTCAAGCTGTCATCCCACTC